ATCAGAATTCGCGGTGCCGGGACACTGCCAAGTATAAATACAAGCGGTGTGAGTAGGTAATATATCTGCACGAATCGGATCTAAAGAACGAAATGAATGAAGATCTTGGACAGGTAATGCACTGTCACCTGGAGTCGGCCCCTGGTATCGGGGAAACGGGAGAGAAGACATAGACTCGGCTGCTGAGTAAGCTTGATGTTGCTGTGCATAGCGCCGAAGGAGCCTTAAGCGGAGTTGAAGAACCTGGTGAGACTGCAAGGCCGAGTAGTCGGCCTCACCCTCTGAAGAGACACCGGTTGTTGTAGTAAGTGGTTGTGAAGCTATGATATCCTGGTTTCGACCTAGTCCTAGCATAGATGGAGCAATACGAGGCAAGAGTACATGACCAGTCGATTCGGGTCGCAAAGGGTCTCTTGAATTTGTGGACGGCAGATGATCAGAAATAGCTGAGATGAAGTTAGCAGTCCGAAGCGATAAACTTCTCCAGAGTGACAAGTCGTTTGGACCAAATGAACTCCTCCACCAGCTAGATTGGTCAGAATGTTGCTTTTTAAGTTTTTTTCGTCTAAGAATATTGCTGAGAACAAAGGTAGTTAGCGAGAAAAATAGAAGGGTCCAAATTGCTCGAGTACGGTTCAGATGGCCAAGAAGTAGAGAGTTCCTTAAGTAGGATAGGGGAGTTGGGTATAGTGAAAAGATCCTAAGAATCCAAAGTAACAAGTTTATAATTGGTGTGGCGTAATGGCAACTAAAGGCATTGATGACCGGTAGGATCGTAAGAAGTAATAAAAAATTGACGAAGAAGAGATCCCAACAAATGCCAACAAACCAATCAATAATAATCTGAAAAAATCGCGCAGGCGGGCAAATTCCCAATCGATAAGAGCTGGAGACGTCAGCAGGACTTTGAAAATGTGTATTTTGATGGGCAACGTCGCTTGCTAGTGAGATAGCTGGTGTGTAGGAGACCCAGCCATTTTGAGTAGTCTCATTATGATCATCTGTAGCACCGGCATCATTCAAAGAAATATTCCGTTGATGCCAATTATGAAATGAGTGATAGATAAAATAAGCCTTAGCAAAGACGGATCCTGCGCGAGCGATGGCCCCAAGTACGACGGCAAGGTTTAATGCATACAGACAAGCAAGAAATGCATCATTAACGGACGGAAAGAGACTAAGAAGGAAGATTTCAAGATTTTTATAACTTAAGTAAGCTCCTGTTTGTTTAGAATAGGAAATACACTTATATTCTGGCGTCAACAAAACTAGATCTGGCAGTTTTTGTGTGAAATCGGAATCAGTCAAACAACCTAGTTTGTACAAAATATCTGAGGCAGCTAAAAAGCTTTCAGATATAGTAGGGTGATTTGCTTTATATGAATCGAGGTTTGTCTCAACCTTTGTGTTAAGTTTTGGCAAGCCCGACTCTTTTAGCCTCCAAAATCGTACTCGTCCAGTGTACGTAACAGATAACGCCGAAATAGATAAAG